TATATGATATGTATGTTCTTTACTGTTTAGATTAAACTGATGAAATGAATCATATTCTAAACTAATGAGGTGCACCTGTACTGTCTGCAATGAGTCATACGACTTTATAACGATGAGCTCTGTTTGCTTTGTATAATTAATTTTCCTATCTTGGCAAATCCCCAAGCAGGAAAGAGTAAATAAGATCTATTTCTGCACATTGTGGAAAGAGGAGCAGCTTCCTACTTTTCAAGTGGGACCACATGATGTGTGTCCTGTATTGGAACATTTTTCACCGTACTGCAACTCTATCTGCTACGACCGCTTCTCTCTTTCTCAGTGGTCTCTGAATATAGCAAAAAACTGGTGGTGAGCACTGATGTAATCTGAGCCGGAAGAACGGGCGCAGAGGGAGCTATAGCAGCATTACGGCTACTGTAGCTTGTTGCTATGACAACGTCAGGTCACCTGGTGTAAGATCAGGAAATGAGGAGCAGAGATTGTGAACACAGTTTAAATTTTTAAAGGAACAGAAGCAGGCGATGACATGGAACAAACTTAAGAGACATCATACCATGTAGGGCACAACCTCTGGGTACAATATGTGTGTAGAGCAGAGAGAAGGTTGACATGTGAGCAGTGTGACATGACAGACTCACCGGGTGATTGTGGCTTTGGTGGAACCACAGCACATCTTTTAGGGGAAGATCTTGGTGAGAGCAGAGCCTCTGTGTCCTTCTGCAGCACTGTCCTCGACACTGTGCAGGGGAGAAAACTGGTGATCTGCTGCAAAATGTCCAAGATTAAAGCATTCTTTGATTTCCTGAAGCGTTCCAGGATACATGCCAAAAATGTAGGAGGCAGGATCAAAAGAGTTCCAAAATAGATTCTAGTAAAGAATAAACATTATTAGTATATAACTGGTTACCTATAAGAATACATTTCATAATTTAGAGGGATGTTCTTTCTTAGAGTTTGCTTTCTTCAAAGTATATCCTTCTCTGGCTTAAACCCCAGCATGGCACACATGTTAAAAACCAGAGGTTTTTATCAAAGTTGAAACCTTTTCAACTCATCCTAATTTTTCAGAAAAGAATTGTGAAAACAAAAGTGTTTCAACATGTTTAGATTATCTACTAAAATGGACCAGTCAAAGGCAACACTGAAGTACAAGAGACAATTTCTAGTTAAGACTGAAACTGACAGTGCAATTTTGCACCACTTTCCATTTTGTCTTTAAGATCTGGGCAAAATTCAATTAAATTCAGGTGAGAAATGTTAGAGTGTAATTGTGTAAGAAACTTTAAGTTTATAAATGTAATCTAATTAAATTTATCACTTAGTAAAGCTCATGAAAAGCAATAAAAACATTAAAATAAAACATTAAAATATATTTACCTTGAATAAATAGCAACTGTATGATAGTAACTATCCTAGTTGCAATGCCCGTTAAAAAGGAGACAATACAGATGAACCAGGAAACTACCAATTACGCAGAATGACCACTAAATGGTGCTGATTCCCAACATTCAAATCAAATATTAACATGAGGAATTTGATCGAGCACACACTGCCTCCTACAGGAGCAGAAAGGAAGTGCAGTGTGTGGTGCTGCATCACTTCTGAACTGCAGCGCTAAGGAGTAGTTACAACAGCACCGAGAGCTGCATTTGTGGTGTTTTCTGCACATTCTTTCAGAAATCCTTAATTAGACTATCAGTGAGGAAACTGGTCATTAAGGCATTGATGATCATAAAGGAAGCACTGCATGATTGCTGTTTTTGGTTTTAAAATGTCATGCTAAGATACAATTTAAAAAAGCAGAAAATGGAGTAAAACGTCTCAACAAAAACACAATGCTCTATGAAAAGCCTAATTATTATTTCTGTTTTTCTTTTTTAAACATTTTGGGTAAGAAAAAAAAAGTAATTTTATCCATTTATTTTCTAGGCCAGTTTGTCCTTGCAGGGAGAGGGGGTGCTTATGCCAGTTTCCATTGGTCACTGGATAAGGGAGGTACATCCTGGACACGTCACCAGTTACAAGGCAGTACAGAAACACAACAGGACCAAAAAACGTGCACAGACATACATTCGCCGTAAAGAGACCAATTAACCAGTAACCAGTGGTTATGTGTTTGGGAAGAAGCTGGAGTACCTGGAGAGATCCCAGAACCTAACTCTTTCTTCCTAAAAGGCAAAAGTGCTATTCAAATGTTTAATCTAAAAATATACAAAACAAACTTCATTAAAGAGAAATAATAGTTTGCAGCGCTTTACTGGAATGTTTTTTTTTTTTTTTTTTTTTTTTTAATGCCTTCTTTTGGTGATACAATCAAATGATCCGGCACAGCTCGAGGTCTAAACCAGCCCATCTGTCAAAATTTGCATTCAGGCATGGAGATAACATGATCTCAACTCAGGATAACTCTAATTTGATCATCGCTCACAAGCACACACACTGAAACTGGATATTGGAAATCTATTTCCTCCTGTCTGTTCGATGTTTGACTGTACCGAGGGAGGAGCCATGCTGGGGTGACAGGTTACGATGCTGCAGACTCGTAGCGCTGGAGGGCTGAACCCGGCCCTGAGACTGGGAGGTTTCACTGACTATGATGGCTTTGTGTGGAAGTGTTCCATCACCGCCAGAGCAGGGATCTACAAAGGAAGGAGAAAGATAAAGGTGAATCTCTGTGCTTTACCTGCAGGTATGTCTTGAAAAACACAGCGGCCCTGTGACCTGCTACAGCAAAACTAGACTATTTAAGCTGATGTTAATGTGATTTCAATTAAAGAAGAATTCTTTCCAGGTTAAAGACACGCCATTTGAAACTATTAGCTCTAACAAGATACCTTTGTATCTTGTATTCCCCCCTCAAAATTGCATATACTTTTATAAAAAATATATTTTATACACATTTGTTAAAACTGTTACTTTGTCATGATTGTACAAAATGAGATGGATAAGGAAAAAAAAAATGAAGCTCCTCTGCCTCCTCCCTGTACTACTACTGCCATCTGCAGAAATAGAACGATTGGTCAGAAACAACTAATCACAGCCAGGAAGAAGGTCTTAGTTAGCACTGTCAATCATGCTTGAATATGCGCTGCTTACACCTTTCTTCTTACTCTCTGCTACATATAAATTATGGTAATAATGTGAAATTGGAAATGCAAGGAATATTCTACTTAGTGCATTTCTAGTTGTTAATTGTTTCTAACCATTTATACACACAAACATGTCCAGATTAAAGTTTACTATGTCTGCATAAACAGGAAGTCAAAAACCAGACAGACAGATTACATTACTTATAAAATATTCAGCTGCTAAATCAATGGTTGTGCTGACACAAGCTCCACCTTCTACAGGTAATGTGACACTTTCAGACTGAAAAAAAAAAACAAAGTCTTTTGCCCTTGAGCATCTTTACTGTGACCTTAGTCCAGATCAGATTGTACTGTACACCACTGCACACTTAATTGCCTGAATCTTACAACTGCTGGCTCTAAAATGAACACCCTGTAGGTCTGTGTGATACTTTCACAGGGACTGCAGCATCTCTTCACACTGCAGCAGTCTGAATCCACCGGGGAGAGTCAGCACATTTTGATTTAAACTGAAGCAGGTACCAAGCCAGGAAGAGCACTGACTAATAGGCAGAGCTATAGCAATTCATGCTGTTGTTTGCATGCTTGGCTGCATGTGCAATATTAATCCAACCTCCACAACAACAACAACACAATGAGTAGCAAGAGGCCTTGGATACTCTGATTGGTACCTTTTCATTAGTAGTTGCAACAAACTTGGATTCTGGTTAGCATGATCAGTTTTCTTTTCTTGTTCTTTTTTTTTTATTATTTATTTTAGCTAAAATTGTATTGTTGCCATCTTGTTGCCAGGTACCACAGCACACTTTCAGGAGTCCATAGAAGGATGGATCAAAGCTATGTTCTTGGCAGCCAAAAGATAAAGTTGTTATAAATTGATTGGAACACATTAAAGTTTTTAATAAGCACCCTTTTATGAAAATAGATCACAGTTAAATAAATCTTACAAGTTGATCACTCATCAATTTGGGGTATTTGCCATAAGCTGTAATTATGAAACACTTGAAATACTGCAGCACTCTTTTTGTAATCAATCTAAGCATGTCTTATTCCTTGACTTGACTTGAAAAATACTAACTTTTTATTGATATTCTATTACATTGAGATGCAAATTTCTGAATATTAAGAAGTGTACACTTTAATTGTGATGTAAATCAGTACATCTTAACAAGCCTTTTAGGTTCAGTTTGTTTGTCCAATTTTAAAAAAAAAAAAAAAAAAAAAAATCCCAAATTTAATGAGAAAACCATTTAAGCCACATAATTGTAGAGAGAGAAAAACAAACTTAACATTGCTCTGGAATAAAATTATGTTTTAATTGTGTGAAGAGATATTCTAAATTTCATGAGTACTGTAAGCCAATGGTCATCACTTCAAATAAATCCCTCTGTGTTTAATGAATATGAGTTTCACTTTCTTATTCAAATAACTGAAATAAAACATGTCACAACAGTTTTCTAATTTATTGACTTGAGCTTGTATAGTCAGAGCACAGTCAAATAGAAAAAGCATCACGACTTACAGTGACATTGGTCATTGTCACAGCTGTTGTTGGACTGGCTGCTGGACATCGACGAGGCGCTGGAGCTGCGTATGACGTCTAAAGCAGCTAGTCGAGCAGCTGGAAGGCTGGAAAAGCCTGGAGGACGGAGACCGGACTGGCCCGACTTCAGCAGGACACTTTTGGGCGTGATTTCTGGACATTGGCAGAAATATATGTGGTTTTCCATGTGGAAATGAAGCTGGGGTTCCCTTTTCAGGTTATAGCTGTTGTGACATGACTGCTTAACATTATCTAATTTACACATGGATATAAATGAATAAATAAACAACAGCACAAAATCAAAACCTGGTTAAAAAAAAACAAACAAAAAAAAAACAAAAAAAACATCTATTCAGAAACTTAGAGCACGATATAGAAGAGACCAGCATGCACCAAACCACATGAGGGCTTGAAAGAATTGAAATATGCAATTAATATTGACAGAAATTCCTAATGTTAACCTTTTAAAGATTTCTCAAACAGTGATGTAGGTTAACTTTCCACCATCTTACCTGCTTGGTCCTGGAGGCCCGGGGTGGACACGCTGGCTCCACGGCAGGATAGTGGAGCTGACCTCTGACCCATCTGTGGGACTCTTGTCTTGGCCGCGGGCTGCCTGGTGACTGCCCCCAAACCCAGCTGAGGCCTCAGAGTTCTAGGTGAACGATAGACGCTGCCACCATCTTGGTAAAGATGCTGATGAAGGACATAAGCAACCAATTACTGTCACAAAAACTACATTTCCTTTCATAATAAATATATTGAAGTTTAGGGTTGCAAAGTGAAAAGGTAAGGGAGAATGATTATGTGACATCTTGATTGTCATTGTATGTCAGGAATAGGTGAAATCCAGAATCCACATCTCACCTCTTGGACATATTTCTTTGACATTTCCTCATGAAAGCTCTCTGATTTCCCGCTCACCCTCTGAGGTGTGATGTTCCCTGGAGGTTTCACGCCCATTGGAACTGCGGCTGGCGGATAGTGCCCTGCCTTCTGCAACTCCTGTCGGTATTTGTCGAACAGTACATTGGAGGAGCTGAGCACTGGAGTGGATCTGGATTGAGGAACCCCCTTGGAGTCCCTCTGAGCTTGTGCACCAGAAGAAGGTGGTGGTTGAGTTGCCTTTGTTAACCCTTCAGACTGGGTGTTGGTGTCTTGTGATTTTGCTGGTGTGCTTTTTCGAACGTATGTAATGATTTTTGGTCTCACATTTTTGGGCTTCTGTGATAGAGGGGGAATTTTGGGCTCATTTTCTTTCTGTTGAGGGACAATAGGTTTGGGAATGCCACTGTTTATGTTTATTTTATTTGGAAGTCTGACGAACTGACTGACATTTCTTTGAAAAGCGGCACTTCTTTCCAAACTCAAAGCCCTTGCGCCCTGGACTTTAGCTGGAGAACCTGGCGGCTGTCTCTTGGGTGAGCAGGAGGTAGTTTTGGGAGTTGCCGGGGTTGCAGATCGACCAGGGCTTCCCCATGTTTTCCTCCGCTCCTGAGATGACAAGCTGGAGCTGTTCTCAAAGGAGCCCTGCTTTTTCAGGCAGTTATCAAAAGAAAGCTGCTTCTTCAAAGAATTCTCAAAGGACGGCTGCTTTTTGAAACTCCTGTCAAAAGAGTTTTGTTTCTTTAGACCGTTTTCAAATGAGCTTTGTTTTCTTATGGCTTTTGGTTCACTTGATGGCTGAATTGCTTTTGCACCACTTTTAACTGGTTTTATCAACTCAAGGATTTCACTGGCTTGTGTGCTTTTATCCATTTTAGTTTTGCTTTCTGCACAAAATAAAGTTTTGTGGTCTGTATTATCACAATCTCCCTTTGAAATGGTTTTTCCTTCCACATTTCTCTGGTTATTATCCGTGTTCTGCTCGTTGCTTACATCCTTGCTTAAGACACCATTCTCCACTTGCTGTTGCGGTACAATAATCTCTGGGTGGGGTGTTGAATTTAAATTCATGTCTAAATCTTGCTGGTGTGTTGAGCTTTTTCTAGTCGACAAGGAGAGATCAGCCTTTTGGGGGGCTTTGTCTCGCTCAGAGATGATGCTACAGGTTTGCGAGGCCACTGTAAGATCCTCTAAGAGGGCAGAGTGGTTACCAGGGGCAACGTGCCAGGAGTCTGTCGTCGGAGTAGCAGTGGTGGACAAGCAGGTCACAAAAACATCAGTATCAGAGACATGAGACGCTGATGATTCCTGCTCACAGGCAACATCCACAACCGACTTCACTCCTTTCCGATTTGTACCGCCCGTTGCCTGTTTTTCTTCGGCGTTGCTGCACGGTGAGGTCTCCTCTTGATGTTTCTTCCTCTCTGTGAGCCCGACAAAATCTTCCCCATCCTCAACCAAATAAGCCTCCAGCTCCTGACACTCCAACATCTCAAACTCAGCCAGCTCGGGGTCGTCACACTGAGAGTCTGTGCCCCAGATGACAACTTTGTCTTGCTCTGCTGTCTCAGTCATTATCCTTGACAGAGAGCCAGTACGTCCAGTTCTCCCATCATCCTCCTCTGTCTGAACTCTGTTGGCGTTTGCATCACCGGCACCCTGCTGGTTGTTGTTCCTCAACTCCCGGTCACCAACTGGCTCTACTTGATCACACATTATGGACAAAGCTAAGAGTCTGTGGCACCCTAAGGAGGTCGCTCACATCACTCATCCATAGCTTCGGTTATAAATCTCTGCCTTCCCATTAAAAAGCCCTACATACACAAAAGGAGAGCATAATGACATGCTTTTTTTTCCAACATTGAAGGAATCAGAATGTCTCAGAGAAGAGCAAACTTTGAATAGATGTCTTCATTAGATGTGTCTGGAATCTGTAAGATGAGAGCAAAATAAAAACAGCATGACATTAGAATTGGTATCACAGGCTGATCCCACAATATTTGTCATTAGGGCTGAAATGATTCATTGGATTAATTGTGATGAATTGATTATTGAAATAATCGTCAACAAATTTAGTAATTGATTAATCGTTAACTGGAGTATACAGACTCAAGGAAAGTCAGACTTTCAGGGAAGTAATTAAGCCAAAACTCTACAATATATATAAATATATATTTTGCATTCAGGATGAAACAAAGCACTTCATCTGTACATATATATTCCACTCAAAACTCAGGTGGCATAGTTTTAACTAAATATTGCACCTTTTACTACCCATTTATTAATTAGTTAACACAAAATTATGCTTTTTGACTGCTCATCAAAATTAGTTTTTTATTTAACTTTAAAGAGGCATCATCAGTATCAGTAAATGTCAGATTTTAATGTGAAAATGAATAAAATATCAGTGGTTCTTGCAGGACCCACAGATAACTATAAATCAGGATTTATAGTTTTTAGAAAACTTGTTTGTAAGCAAGCTAACCTGAAGTGTAAGTCATGTAGTATGAATCAACACTTAATGCTACTTGCCCAGGTCTATGTGTGACATAGATAACAGGAGACAGAAGCTCATCAAGCTTCAGATGCCCTGTATAAATATGATTGTAAATAAAAGCGGAAACTAGGACAGACGTCACTAGTCCTCACAATGCCCTAAAAGAAGGATTTAACAACATTATCAATATTGATGACTGGAGGGAGAGGAACAAAGAGATGATCAAATTATATTTTTTGAACCACACAATCAAGGAATGACTTAATATCTGCCCTGTTTTTTGCAATGTTGAGTAACATTAACAGAGAGGAAAACAAAACAAGGAATACACCATATAATCTTTAACTTATCTGTTTACCCATCTGTTGTATCGATATTGTCATAAATAATGCATTATGTGGCAGCTCTTACTTTGTGCTGCGTTTTCAATTCTAATTTCTGATTTTTTTGTTGTTGCGCGCACTTATAAATGCAACAAAGAGCGACAGAACTTACATCGACCGCGGTTCGTCACTGTTTGACATGAAAGAAACTATGTTGTCTTCTCAGAAGTGAATAAGAGTTGCATGCTGTGCTGCAGGCAGAACAGGAGGCTCTTAGCTCCGTTGATGGCTGCATTTACTGTGAAAGGGTTCTCATTTTCAGGGCTCTTCTGCAATTAAAGGGACAGCAAGCCATGTTCAAGCTGTGCAGCACTGCTATTGGTTTTTGGAAGCACTAACTTGGGTGGATGAATCCTTCAAAAGGTCACTGAAAGGTTTGTTATTTTGCCATATTATTTGGGATTTTCTACAATAAATTTTGCATAGCAACTAGGAATCTGTTCAGTAATGCAAATGCTTTTTTGTTCTTTTCTTAGCTTAGAGAGAAAGGGTAGAAATGGGGCTGCATATCTGAAAATTATGCAGTGATCATAATGTTAAATATAATGATAATGTGACCAGTTGTAATAAATCCATATTATCCTATGAAACGCCTGATTTGTCCGTCTCCAACTGGAATCCGGTATTTTGGTTTTCACTCAGTGGGCGTCCCATTCCTGCTGTTCATGAGAAGCTGGAGTTTTGGTCCACCCCAGATGTGATATTCTGATATTTTAATACTTTAAAGAAATTAGAATCTTTGATAAAGTAAATGATACAGACCATTTTTCAATTGCTATATGTCTCTGAACAGACTTTCAGCTGCTCTGCACTTTGTGCATTTAAAGCCCCGATTTGTAAGGAGATATTGTTTGAAACGGCTGCTGAGGATCCCTGTCCAGCTGTGGGAGTATTTGAATTTAACATATCACAGTAATACAGTATTAATATACTGACAGAATGTACATGATTGATGCTTATATGGTGTTACAGCCATGTAAGACAACTGTGTCTTGGCCATAATCCCACTGACCGCAGCATGGTCATGGTTATAGCTTTAGTAACAGCTGAGTACATTCACATATATCACAGCAGTAACATGAGTGAGAGCTGGTAAACCTTTACTTCATTCTTTTCTGTGGGCTGGAGATTCACCGACGTTTAATACATTGTTTACTACATATTAAAGACTAAACTCCAATGCAAAACAGCCCAGACTCTCCCTCAGGGTTGAAGGACACAGAAACAAAAGCATGAGTGACGTAACAAGACGGAGTGAGGTTGGAGGTAAATCTTGTAAGAATCTGTCTTTAAGTAGTTTTGAAGCAAAACATATACAAGATAAATTTTAAATTTGAGCCTTTTCCCCCATGCGTATATCTAGATTTCTATACTTCCTACATAATCACAATACAGTAAAATAGCTCCAAAATATTCACTAGGATCATTTTGACCCATACGAGCTCATATGTGCCAGTCAGGTTTCTCAAATATCTCTGCTGTAGGAAGTTTTGCAGCAGCTCAATTCTGCAAAGTGGAGGAAATCAGAGGCATAACTTTCCTACATTATTTCCCTTCATCTTTTCAGGCAAAAAAAAAATAATAATAATAATAAAGGATGTCTGCAGAGGATTTCCTGACTGGATTCCTGTGCAGTAAAAGAGCCTTGAAAGTCCCTCTGATCTCAGCCGTTCCCACAAATCCACCTGCATTAAGCTCTCATCGCCAAATCTAATAATTTATCCGCTGCTGTTTTACAAGTTCATTTAGCTCATAAAATCTAACTGGACATTTAATAAAACTGTCCTGTTGCCAAGTCTCATTATAATGATCAGAGGGGTTTTTTTTTCCTCACAAAAATGTGAACCTACAAAGGGTTAAACAAAGGCTGGATTAATCTGCTCTGGGCACAAACAGAACTTCACATATCAGATTCCTTCATACGCGCACTTCCTGTTCCTGTCGATCAGGTCTCGTACAGCAACGCAAGAGGTTTTAATGAAATCAAAGTATGAAGTGATTTCTGCTTTTGGGTCTCTCAGGTGGATTATAGGTTGAACATTTCCAGGAATGACGGAGACTTTGAAATACAGGAGCAGCCACAGTATCAGCAACCCAGATAATTGTGTGAAAAATGGTACAGGCCTACAGGAGACTTGGTGACCTGAAAACACTTTGCTGTGAGCTTTGGACATATTTTTAGCTTTCTTAAACTGCTGTCATACTGTCACCTATCTTGCTAGTTGCTATGAATGTTGGCATATAGGAAAACATATATTATGTTGGTCTAAATGTAAGAACAATGAAATTCTGTCATGTCATGGAATTACTGTCACATTTGAAGTGCATATAGTGTACGTGTATTGTCATCATGGGGCTGTAATTTACAGTATTCTGCTGCAACATACCCAGGTATTTTACTTTTTCAGTAGTCCCCATTTGGTTTTATTTTATTAATTTTTAATATATAAGGATCAACTGACTCATTGGAAATAAAACATCATTTATTCCTGACATTCATTTCATAGCAGGTCTTACCATCATTTTCGCCTGAGTTGACTGAATTTACTGCAGTGCAGACAAGCTGTGTAACATAGTGTGATATTGAATAATGGTATTATTAAGTCACTATGATTATTGCAATATTATAACCACAAATGAGAACATGGGCTACATACATGTCATGTGAGAACTGTGCTGTTCATGCGAAATTTTGCTCTTCCAATAAATTATGAATTTATTTTATCTCTTTTTTTTTCCACACATTTTTACAGATAAATGTGCCAGTCAGTGTAAGGCACACATACCTGTTCAAAAAGAAGTGGACAATCTAAAGTTTTGATTGTATCAAGTGAATTCATCATTAACATGCCACAAAACATCAACAATTTATAGTTGTATCTTTTTGTGTCAAGATCACTAAAAAGTAAAAGCGATAGAAAACCCTTTGACATATTAGCTAGACAATAGCTGGATGGCAGCTGTGTTATGTCTAAAAAACAACCTTGTGTTAGCTTCTCCTAAGCTTTCTGTCGAAAGCCTGTAAAATGCAAAGAAACTCTAAGATGAGCACGAGACTGCTTTGCTCATCTCTGCAGCCTTTTATCTACAATTCTCTTTGTGGTTCTTAAATTTTCATTGTGCGGATCAATCCCAACAGCCTGTATCGAGCCAGCTCATATAACATTTCTTCACACCAAATAAAGCTTACACCTCCCCGAGGGCAACCAGACATCCAGGGACGCCCGACAAGAAATCATTTTCAAGAAAGTAGCTGCAGATCGGTAAAAAGGCTTGTTTCTGCTGTGGTCTTGATTGCTTTCCCATGCCTTAAATTGAATTCCAGCTTGAAATCAATCCAGCACAAAGTCAAACCAATGCACAGACAGTCCAGGCCATCAGTATTTATCAGAGCAGTGATGATAGATATGATATGGTGCATTTATTTTGAAGATTTATTGAATCAAAATTCTCAACAGTTTGAGTTAGAAAAACATGAGTACAGCGTTACAGTAATTGAAGAGATAAACTTGATTCTGTTCACACTTTTAAGAAAAATAAGCTGCTTCTTTTACTAGACGGAACATGTCCAACGTCAATTATTATTTATAGTATGTTGCAAATCCATTTATATCCTTGAACTTGTTTTTTGTCACTCAGACATGTCTATGCAATTTATCTAGATTTTATGTGACAGACCAATTATGGCATAACTGTAAAGTTTAAAAAAGCAACCCCTGTGCTTTCACTGTTTTTTTTTTTCAAATAAAAAGAAAACAATGAAAAGCTCATAATCTAGACCTCTTCAGCCTGAGTAGGAGAATTTGTTGATAGGAGAACTTTAAGTCAGCAAATCTAGCTTATATGGAACAATGAAAATCAGAAAGACATCATAGTAAGAAAACAATTAAAAGTTTAAATTTGTCACAATCTAATCTTTTTTCCCTTTGTAAAACTCTATTCTAATTGACACTGCATGTGACCCTGAACACATAATTTTTACACTAAACAATTGTGTTGGCTGCACAATGCTGCAGGGATGTTTTTCTTAAGCAGATAATGAAGCTGTTCAGAGTCAATGGGAAAAAAAACTAAATAACAAAATTTATCTGAATCCTGGAAGAAAACCTCTTAGAGGCTACAAACAAGTTGAAACTGGGCCAGAGATTTACCTTTTGTTTTGGAAACGACCAAAAGCATAACCAAAGCAAATATTGATTCAGGCTGTTCAGACACATATAACTTGGAAAAAAACAGGTTCCACTTCCTTGTGGAATTTCTTTCTAATTCCACAATTCTACTCTACTTTGCATACGACCACCATGTGAAATCTCAATGAAATACATTTTTCACTGTATATGGATGTAACATGAAAACATTTTTTTAATACTTTCAAGTCACTATTTGTGCTGTACACAAAAGTTCTTCAGACAGTATTTGAGAAGAAATATTCTATTTTCTCAGAGAAAAGAGGAACATATGAACATATGAAAAAATAAAGCATCATAAAATGTAAGGACTCAAGTAAAGTGCATATGATGTATTCCGAATAAAGTGCAGTTCCTTAGGGAACACACTGATGCTTTGCTGGACAGTTATAGCTGTACGGAACATTAATGCTAGCACGTGCAGCCGGTTCTTCCTTGTTTTCCTGCTGTTGCTGTGCTCCTCAAGCACCTCAGGCAACCTGATAATTATAGCACAAGGGATAATTAGGAAATTTCTGCCAGTCCTAACAACACGCTTCCCTGAGCATATTTCTCCCTCACCATCCCCCATCACCCAGCGAATCACCCAACCACCTGCCTCCTGACAACCAGGAAGGACCTTCGCTGTGATGAAATCTGTACACTTGTTTTGACTGTGGACTGCAATAACTTGCAGTCTTCTGTGAAACTGAGGCTTCCTCTACATCAGGAGTTGTCATCCTGAAGCAAAACAGAGATCAAGACCCTCGTTTAGTTTACTTGGCTTCACTGGATGGTTTGTGCAGGATTCTCATGAAATATTGAGGATGGATGGAAATGGAGGCACCATTCTCCCTCCAATTTTTAATGCCTGAGTGGTCCTGATTTCTTTGTGTACCCACTCGAAGTCTGCAGCATTAGATGTGCAGATGGTTTGCTGTGTAACATAAAAATAAAATAAAAATGTAACATAAGCTAGATCTTTTAGGCCTGAAAGGTAGACTGTATTCCGTCTTTGCTGTGACTGTCACATCTGGACTAACTGTGAACCAGCTGGATCTGTCATCTTGGTTTTACTCATCTCCAGTCATTCCTTTTCTAAATATAACACATCTATATTCATCATCCAAAAAGAAAAAGGAAGGAGGGATATTGCAAATGCAAACATTACAGATGAAAAACGGGATATGGATAATTCAGGATCTGACAGAATAAAGGTAAGCACACCTACAGGAAGGAGATATTATTCCAGGCTGACTATAATCAAGCTGCCACTCAAAAAAACAAAAAAACAATTAACCACAGCTCACACCGTTATTACAGACACCAGAACCAACAGGCTCACCCGCAGCATCCCAGCAGATGCAGCAGCCTTCATCAATCTCATTTATTCCCGAACCTGCGAGTGAGACGGGGACAGGCAGGACTCACCTGCTGTCCTTCAGGAGGAATGAAAACGCTTACCGGCTGGATCCTGCAAGTCCTCTTCTGAAGGGCTCCAAGGCGGAGAGAGGACGGAGGAGAAGCGAAGCATCGGGTGTTAAGGCGAGATGAAGAGGAATCAGTCTGCAGGATTGCTGGAAAATAGGGAGGAGGTGAGAAGACGAGAGGTGACGCTGAGATGGGTTCCGGTTGCCACCTGCCGGTCTGAAGTAGCAATTACACCCAATAACTTCACAGACACAAGATGAAGTGCTGCTCAGAAGTAAATCACGGAGCAGTAAAAAAAAAAATAAAATAAAACACTGGGTATATCTTAATGCAGTCATGAACTCTACAAATCTGTAGATTTACATTTGCAAAAAATACAGAATCAAAAGAAGAAATCAATTTTGAACAAAATGAGTGAGACCGAACTTAGTTTTGGGTCTAACCGTAAAATGCTGTCAGCACAATTTTGCACAGCGCCTGGTGAAACATGGTGGTTGCAGAATCATGCTGTGAGGACGCATTTCTGAGACACATCTGTGTCCTACACACTGTTCAGAATTTTATCAATAAAAGACCTCAAAAACATTTTTCTTTACCACTTCCCAATGATGTCACTCTCCACTGGTCTATCTTTTCAAAAATACAGGTACATTGATGTTTGTGGTTGTAACCAGACAAAATGTGAAAAAGTTCAGGGGCTGCAAAGTTATCTCTTGTGACATAACAAACAAGGTCATGTCTCGACTTTTGCAGGCTTTTGTAGGAAAGTGGGGGAAACTGGCTTAATAAACAATATTCATTTGAAATGCTGAGGAACGTCACTAAGAATGAGTGAAAATCTTTTCAACAAAGGTCTTCAGAAAGCCTGAAGACCTAATGATTAAGACCCTTTCAATAAATTAGGAAAACAGACTCCTTAAAAGCATAAAGTACAGAGACGTGACACCTAAGAAACATTTCAACAGATTTAACCGTCACATCACAATAATGAAAGTTGAACTTAATTTCAACTGTATTTTTTTTTTCAATTTCAGGAATTAGAAGATCTAATATGATGTAAAATAAATAAATATAAATAACAAGGGCAAATTTAGGTTTTAACATTCACCATGATTTATTTACAGAACCAAATAAATCCATAAACAGATGGTGGACACAGAAAACAGCATCTCAAATACTAATTTGGACTGTAGATATTTACCAGAATGTTGCTAAAAAAAAAAAAAAAAGCAGGTTAATGAATATTAACGAGCACCCGGAAAACTGTCCAATTTGTCACATCGCATTTGAACACTGTAGCATAGTCTGCATTGTAAATGCTTCATTTGGAAGGTGAAAGAAAACCTGTACAAGCCAACCAAGCTTGAGTAAATTTGGCATATTCCCTTACATTGTTATTGGTATTTACAACATGGATTAAAACATGAAGCACAACCACACTGACTGTTCAACAAAATCTGAGCATAGTTACATTTTATGTACATTGTTTGTTATCTTACATGAAGGCCAGCACACTGACACTGTGACAAAGATCAACACACCATGTTAATAAATAGAGCAGTGTCCTGGCATGGAACCATAGAAATTTACCAGAACTGAATTCAAGTCCGGCAGACAAGTTAACGGAAGAGAAGTAGAACCCTATATTAATGCAAGTCATATTCAAGTTTATAGGTAAATCCATGGTAGAAATTTAAAATGGAAATTTTCTAATGCACACATTTCACCTAGTTGCCACTTTGACATGTAACATTCACGTTTGAGCTGCCTGGTGGATCTTCACACAGTCACAGTAGCTTTCATTGTCATCATCAGTGAATTGTATAACACATAGCATAGTCCTGGTTGGGGTACGTCCTAATTAGGGATGTCCTAGTACAATCCCAAGCATCTGAAGAGGGTCCAGAGCAAGACATTTTATACATGATCGGTGAAGGCATCTCTTGGTAAGCTTCACTCTTTAGCCAACCTCCCAGCAAACTGAGTTTTTTAAAAGCAGAGGAGATGAAGTTGCAAAATTGTTCCAGATTATTTTGCTGATCTAACAATCTGAATATTCACAAACAATAAAAGGTCAGCATGAAAGACAAGAGACTCTTTTGGCTCTTGTAGCTTTGAGTCTGTCTTTATCTTATCACCAGTTCTATATGCTGTACAACAGACAGCTGTTGATGGGGGGAGACAAGAATGCAGTTGAAACACAGATCATTCAATTTTATGATAATCAAAGCAGAGTACTAAGTTTATAAAACAGGAGAATAAACCTTCGAATGCAAGATTCTTCTAAATCAGATATTTTCCCAAATTATCAACAAGTCACATCAAAACTCAATCAACATGCTGGCATGTTTCACACAAAAGCACAGTTAACAGGAGAAATATGCAAGTTTACCAAAGATTGTGACTGTAAGACGCATCTTTAGACATGTAAGAGTGACCTGCAAAATACTTGAAAGGTCAAGATAGTTGCTGCTCTTGTGAAGAAATGGTAATACGACGTCTGGAATACCAGACGTCTGGTGAGTGACTTGAATGCAACACAGTCACAGTGGTAATGTTAACCACGCATTACTGATGAAACATAAGGAACAACTTTAAAGCTACTGAATTTTGAAGCATACGTTCAGCATCGGTTTCTGGGCAAATGGCTCGAATGGCTCGGACCTGCACTTGGGACGAAAATTCTTTAAAAAGACACCTGTTGCAGCTGCCACAGTGAGTTTGAGAACAGCAAATTAAGCTAGTTTTGGCCACTCAAACAAAACTTAACCACAATATTAAAACTGTTCTTCCTGTTTAAATGCATATGCACAAAAAATGTAAAAATGGTCCAAAAATAAAATTCTCCATATTCCTTAAAACCGGATTTTCATACTCCAGAGGATACTTTATACACAGACAATTAACTGCATTTTCATCTCATAACAAGTATCAAATGTTTAAAGGATATCACCTTTGAAGTTGTGACATTTCTTTGGGAAAAAGGCACCATCTCAAGTATCTGACAAAAACTCCATATTAGCAGCTTTCAGATAAAACGTGCAATTTCCACTCATAAAAACAACACTCATCTTTATACCCAACAAACTTGTGTCATTGATCCGCTAATTTGCAATACATTGATGCATTGCTCTAATTTGCGATTAGAGCAATGCGTCAAATATTGCTCTAATCTGAGCAGCTCATTGAAGGCAGCATAATGCATAAAGCAACTATTTTTTCAGTAACATAAGTACATTTTTTTTCAATGCACCTAACACCTAACATATGGGTTAGGTGTTCCGGCAGGAAACTGAGTGGATAATTGTCAGCTCTATTATTAATCTCTGTAATTCACAGTAAACATCAGATATTAAAACATTAGGCTCTGAGTCTGTGAGCCACAGTTAATTCTGCACAACAAATATATCACTGAAAATGTGATTGTTGTTTTGGCATGTCGTCAATTTGGGAATAGCAAACTTTAGAAACAGACATTCAAAGATGCATGCATGCACGGATCTGCAGTGTTTTCTGTGCAGCCGTTTCAGAAAATGTGTAAGCGCTCATTTCCTCATCAGTCGTCACCGTCTCGAGTGCAGTTTGATGTGTTCAAGGCCTCCTTCTCTCTGGTCATTGGCTCTCCTTTTATTGAGCAGGCATCAGACCTGGTTGCCTCTGCGCTGTTCCAAAAGCCATAGACGAAGTAGATAAAGATACCTGCAGTAGTGGAGGAATATCAGGTCAGAGAGGTCAGACTATATTTAGAAAAGCTGGCAGAAAATGTTCCACTCTTGAGACACAGTACCTATCAGCATCCAAATGCTAAAGCGCACCCAGGTTCCTTTATTGAGCTGCATCATCAGGTAGACATTGACAAACATGCTGATGATGGGAACGAAGGGCACCAAGGGAACCTGTGGAGAGAGAATCCATTTCAAAAGGCTTAAAAAACTCCTTCACAAAAACATAGTTCTGAAATCTATCGAGATAAGTGGAATGAATGACTTCATGTATCTAGAAGGAAATTCAGCAAAAGAAGTGAGAAGAGTAAAAAGAAAAAAATGTCACTGTTAGATTTCTATATGTCATCACTGGTTAATTAAAGCATAAATAAAATATTTAAGAAAAACCTTAGTCTGACTGATTTAGTTTGGTCAAAAACTGCCATTTAGTTGGGTTCACGCTCATCACTGAAAGGGAGTTTATACAAAAAAATCTCCCTGTAGTGGTTCTAGTGGGTATTACAGCTCCAGGGTTAAAGCTCAATAAATATTTGACATTTGCCAAAGTTTTCTAAACAAGCAGATGTTCTGTGCTCTTCAAAGCAGCTGCCCACCTCAAAATATCAGTGATAAGAGATGAAAAGCAAGAAAGGCCGTCAGAGGGAAGCAGACCACTTTCAGAGAGCCATTTTCTCAGTTGATATGAAGTAATACATGTTGACAGTCGAGCTAAAGATTGGAAGACTAATCAAGACCTGGATCTGATCACCAAGACAGGCGCCAGGCCAAAAACTTTGTGCACGAGCTGCAACCACACCTGTACAAATATGACCTTCACTATAATCCTATGCTCTAATCCATACAACTGAATGCAATGTGAGTAGTTTACAAATCAATACCCTGAACTGAAAAGAACTCATTTTGTTTGCCAAGTCTCCAAAAGAAATTGTAGCAAACAATAATTGAGACTTCTTATAGGTTTATTTCAAACCTGACGTTGCTCTTGCTACTCCATTATCACAAATTTGGGGAATGTGTGAGAAATAGTGGTACTATCAGCATGAACCCTGGATGGCTTACTAATTGGATTGCTTATGAAAACAGTTGAGAGCACTGAGTTCGAAATCCATGTTTACCTCTGCTTCACTTCAATAACATACTGCTGTGGTGCTGTTTTGCGTTGGTCTACCGCATAAAATGTCCCAAAAAAATACACAGATGTTTGTGGTGGTAACATCCCAGATAGTGAAAAAGTTAAAAGGAACAAAAAAATTAGCAAAAGGTTTAAAGTTCACTCACCTTAAAGGCCAGCTTGGCTTTGCTCTGAGGCTGCCTGTATATAACAAAGGTGAGAAGGACACAAACCGCCATGCTAACACTCATCAGAGCCACAGCCCAGGGGGCCAGAGTTTGTTGAGCAGCAACAGCACTGAAAACACACACCATAACACCTGGTGGAGAGAAAAAAAAAAAAAAGGAGACCTCGTCACGCTCCGGGCCAGTTCAACATGAAATGTTCACTTTCATCCTCGTGCGAGGCTCACCGATTATGCTGGTGCAGATTTTGACGGTACGACCAGACAGAGGAGAGGGTTCGGGGTTGGAGGGGGACAGGAGATTCTTGATGCTGATCGTATCTTCTGGTTGAGGAAAGACATCAGAGTTCCCTTCGCTGCAAGACTCCGGCTCCTCCTGGGTGTTGGCCATCTCATAGGCCGTACTCGGCTGCTCAGGCTGGTACCTTCGCGTGACAGGCGAACAGAGAGCAGACAAGTCACTAAGGATGGGGAGGTGGGGCTTAAAGATGAGGTGAAATCACTTAATAATAAACAAATGTTATATCTCTTAAAAGCAAGAACTGGGTGCACAAATACAAAATCTAGCTCATTGTAGATTGTGTTATAATCTAGTAGGTTTAAAATTATAAATACATGCTGAGATGGAGGGAGCAGGTCAGAGAACTAGGAGAAAATCAAGAAGTAGGAGAAAATACTTAAACCATCTAGCTTTAAGTATGTGCTAAAGTTTGAGAATTTAGAGGTAATCCTTGAAATAAATGAATCTAAGAATTCATTTATTCTCATGTCAGATCTAAACTTTTAAGTATTGCATATTTCTTGGTTATTTGGTGAGAAAAACAATTACCTGAGTACCAACACACAGGCAGCAACCAGAGTATAGGCCAGTAAAGTGCCAATAGACATGAGATCCACCAGGTCCTTTAGCTCAAACAGGAAAGCCATCACAGCTGCGGGGCACAGAGGAGAAAATACACATCAGCAGAGTGACTTCAACAAGAATACACAGCAGAATTAGATTCAATATTAATGACACAGTATTTTAATTAAAATAAAGTCTAAAAAAAATAAAGGAGGAAACTGCCAATCTATTACTGTAAAGATCAAAAATATTTACAACTATGTGTGATTCGTTTTTTCCCCCCTTCCTCCTCCTTCCACATGGGGGCACTGTTGACTTTGTCTTTTTCTCAGCCACCTACCAGACATCAGCCCTGCCACCAAGGTGGAGACGATGGGCGTCTTCCTCTCGCTGACACGAGCCAGAAACGAGAAAATCACCCCGTCACGAGCCATAGCAAAGATAATGCGTGGCAGCGGAAACATGGAGCCAAGGAGGCTATGTCATGGATGAAGGGAGGAGGAGGAGGAGACTTTAGAACGTAGCTGTGGTTCCACACGAGCCCTCAAACATTGTCAGCCCAACGGAACAGCTGCTGCGTCAGCTAAAGTTTGCCGCCTTTGTGCTGCGTTTGCATGTTAGGTGTTGAGGGGCCTGCTTCGCCACGCCTCGCGCAGCATTCTGCCAGTTAGCGAGTTTAGGGTGTGAGCTCACCTGCGACCATGCCGGAGGTTACTGTAGCTGTTAGCGGGGTTTTGGTTCGCGTGCTGATTTTAGCCAAGCATTTGAAGAGCAGGCCATCCTCCGCCATGGCCCAGATCACTCTTGGCATTGGGAACATGGAGCCCAGCAAGCTGGTTGGTGCAGGGAGGGAGAAAAGAGCATGCAATGTCAAGGAAAACACACACACACACACACACACACAGCTCAGATATCTATATGTATATTAGGTGTTTATGTCACAACGGAATAATTTTATTAACATTTTACTGTATGCTTATCTGTGACTTAAAGAGCTATCAAAAATTGATTGTTGTATCTTTATGGTTGACTAAATTTTTTGTTAGTTTTCTGCCAGTATATCCTGTAAATGTAAAATATGCACCACTGGAACTTTTGCAAAATTCCCGAGTGTGGTGTAAATTTGGATCTACCCAACTATGGTCTATGCAGTTACTTTAATAAGAGCAAAACATGCATTTCAGTTATTTTTTATGGTTCCTGAGCAACTCCAGTTGTTTTTGAAGTATTTCATATTCTCCCTACGCCTCCGTGCAGGGCTTTCTGCGTCTCCACATGGGGTACTGCTATTCTTCAATAAATGTGGAAACTAATTGTTTAAAGCTAGACATTAATATTCAATCGAGAGATTTAAGAGGTAACATAAAACTCAGAAACAATCAGAAAAGGACAGAAAGAAAGGAGAGAAAGAAACAAGAAAGGATCCAAAAAGCAAAGAAAGAAAGAAAACAGAAGGAAACAAAGGTTCATACCATTTTCTTTTTCTATATTTATCCACACACTGAAAATAGTTGAATTCCATATTTTTCCAGAAATTAAGCACCCTAAATACTAAAGGATCATCATTTAATTTCAGAATCTAAATGATTTTACATTCGCATTTATATATTGTACCAAAAGCAGACAAAATGTTTCTAAGAATCTTTCCAATGTGTCACCTGCCTCATACACCCCAGTCTTTCCGACCTACTGTTCTTTAACTGCAGCTCGTCGGCTACCAGCGAGTAAAGCGTTATGTAAAAGAATTCACTACTCAGGGCAGCTGAAATGAATTATTCATTTCCTAAAGATTCCTGCTGAACAATTACGCGCCCTCTGTGGCTTCTCATGCTGAGAGGCAGTAGGAGACCCACTTACCTGGTCGACAGAGCACATAAAGAGCCAATGGCTACTGCATAAGTGGCTCCCTCCCAGCCTACATACTTAAAGGCCACTGGAAGAGGGCTGTCTTTGTCCAGCATGTAGTACGGCATCATAACAGTGAGAGCCGCCGAAACGCCGAAGTAAGCCACAAAACAGATGAGGAGAGAGGCCACGATGCCGATGGGAATGGCCTTCTGGGGGTTCTTCACTTCCTCTCCTGAGGGGGAAACAAACAAAAAACGATATGTCAGGTAACAGAGTTTTGTGTGTACTACCCGTGTTAATGCATTTGCCGTCACCTGTAGTGGCAATGCAGTCAAACCCCACAAAGGCATAAAAACAGGTGGCAGCACCAGAGAGGATCCCTGACCACCCGAACGGCATGAAGCCGCCTGCACCAAGAGTTTCAGGGTGGGGAAGTGAGGTACTGGAAGTAAGAAAAGAAAGCACTTATTTACTTTATGAAGATAATTAGCGATGGTAATCATAACACACTGATCTTCAGTGAACCTACTTATGGGTGGCGTTTCCAGTGGCGTTGAGGATCTCTTCAGGGTTCAGATTCCAGTTTTTTAGGTCTCCTTTAACCAGTCCAGAGACGATCACAAACAGCAGGACAAGCACATTGACGCAAGTGAATACTTTATTCACCATGGCCGATTCTTTGACTCCAAAAGCAAGCAACGCTGTGAAAAGTTGAAAAGGAAAAAAAAAAATATGATAGGATATATGACAGAAACAGTGGGGGTGGAGGGAAGAAACTATTTTTTAAGAACATTGTTTACGTAAAAAAATAAAAAAGATAGGAAGGAAAGAAACAAGAAAAAGAAGGGGTGATGGATGGATGCGAAACTGAAACAATCAGATTAATCGTGACTAATCATTTCATGGAATAATCGTCAACTAATTTAGTAAATGATTAACTGTCAGCTGGAGTATACAGACTCAAAAAAAGCAATTTGCTGAAAGAATAACACACCCAGAGCAGTAATTATGCTAAAGCTGTAAGAAGTTGAAAGAGAAATCTGCAGAATGCAACAATTTTTTATGCAATTAATCGTCAGAATAAAAATAATCGATTCGTAAAATATTTTTAGGTTGTAGCCCTAGATGGATGGATAATTAAAGGAGGGATGGACAAATGGAAGGAGGGAGTGATGTATAAATGGATGGATGGGCACAACCTTTAGACGGTAGAACATATATATAAAAATAAAAAATATAGAAATACAATTGATGTTCTAGACTAAGTTGTCTTTCTTATTCTGATCCATGAATGAAAAATCAAATTCCTTATTTTTCTAAATGAATCCACTCTGTACTGGAGTCATGGAAAGACATTATTGTGTCTAACCTGTCAGACAGAGTATGATGAAGACAGCAAATATGTCCGGATACTCTGCCAGCCACTGTACATTAATTTTCATGTATTGTTTGCAAAATTGCTCAATGTGCTTTCCGGTGAGCTCATCGAAGGTGGCGCTCCAAGCCCTCGCCACACTTGAAGTTCCTGCACAGAGAAATCTTCAGGTAATTCACAAATCACAGAGATTAGCAGCCAGGTCTTTACCTTTCCTGTTTTTTTAAGTGATCTCACCAATGACATAGGAGAGAATGAGGTTCCAGCCCGTAATATAAGCCCCTAGTTCTCCCACCGTCACATAGCAGTAGAGGTAAGCTGAGCCGGTTTTCGGGACACGGGCTCCAAACTCGGCGTAGCACAGACCAGCTAGCACGGAAGCTAGCGCAGCTATGAGAAATGAGAGGACGATGCCAGGTCCAGAGGTTTCACGAGCTACGGCACCAGCGAGCACATAAACACCGGCACCCAATGTGCTCCCAACGCCCAGGGCCACCAGGTCAAAGGTCCTGAGGCATCGGGCCAGCCGGGTTTCGTCTAAGCTGCAGTCCACAACCTTCACCCTCAGGAGCTGCTTCCCAATGCCTTGTAATTTAGCCAGAATCATCTCTGTTAGTGCCAAAGGGACACAAACATACCTGTGGACAGAACAAGACAGGAATGATGATGGGATTATGACACATCTGTAAACACAAGGTGTTCAGTTAAGCCTTTCACAATATCAAATTTTGCTAGATGATCAATTGTCGCAGAAATTATTGCGAGAAATGTTGTTTTCAGACCATTTTCAAGTGACATATTGGTAACGGCGTAATAATGCAAGTTTGCCCTTTCAAAGACCAATAACTTTGACTTTGTAAAGAACACTTCACAATGGAACTAAATATATTTTAAATATCCAAAATAAAACACGCCACCACAAACCACAAATAAAATGAAAAACAAAAAACAAAACAAAACAAAACAAAAAAAACACACAAATAACTGAAACCATAAATTATGAAGTCCATAAACAAATTTGCTCTTCAAAAAATACCATTAGAATTTATCGAGCTCATTTTAATTTACTATGCGATTGATTATTACAATAGGCTTATATTCAATGCTTATGACTTACAAAAAAGTATTCAAACCTCATAAGCATTCCATTTTCATTGGAACTTTTTATGACAGATCAAAACGTAGTGAATGGCTGTCCAGTGAACGGAAAGTTATTGAAGTTTTTTGACCAAAAAATGCTTGAAAGTATAGCATGTAGTTGTATTTATTTGTATTTGCCACTAAAAACGTGGAACATAGCAAGCATGTGGAAGGAGACACTCTGATCTGGTCCAAAACAATAGTTCTTATTGTCACTTATGTTGTTTTCAAAGTGGTAACAAAAAGTACCGTGATAAATCTTTAAGTACATATCGGACTCTTTAAGCCCATCCCTGCTGAAAATGCATGAATTTTCAATTACAGAAAATTGTGGGAGTGCTCATAGTGAATGTGTGTGCCACTTTTCAGAATCTTATTTGTAAAACAAACATTTAAACCCTTTATCGTTTCTCTTCCACTCCCCAGTAGTGCACTCATTTGTGCTGATCCTTTATATAAATTCCTGGTGAAACGCATTGAAGTTTGTGGTTGTGACACGACACAACAAAATGTGGAAAGAGTGCAAAGATTTCACAAGGCACTGCGTCCATGCTCAGTGCAGAAAAGCATGACCTTAAGATCACATCGTTTTACCGTCTGTGGGCGTTCCAGGAAAGAGGCTCATCAGTTTATGGTGATCATTTACAACATCCAATCAGGCTTCATGCAACAGATGCAGCATTTAATCTGAAAATGTCTAGGGAAGTTTTTTGGTTATTGAACACACCTCATTCAAAAACCAGACCTCATTCAAACCACCCAAAATATGGGTGAACTAACTCCGTTCCTCCAGAAAGCTAAATTTGCTTATTTCAAATTTGTTCGAGCCCACAGCTTTATTGTAGTTTTCTTGTAAAATATCAATTATTAAGGGAGCTAACATGCACAATATTCTGCTACTGAAAAGAACTAAAATGGAAGGGGACAATGTCTGATCAACAGAAACTGCTAAACAATTGTGACACTGCAGTCATCGCTTCAAGCTTCCGCAAAAACAATACATCTGCAATTGAAATGATAAAGAAGAGTACTCACTTCTGTTTTACAACAAGTTCAACACAGGTTCCTGACTATCACTGATGCCTATGAGCTCACAATGCTCCCAAGCTTGATTGTCCAGATGGCACATCGCCTTACCACCAGCTTTAGATGACATATTTACACTCAAGGGCTTGACATGTGACACAGATGCCAATTTGTGTACAAACCATTCAGGTATTTGGTGTACAAATAGAACAGTGATATATCACATGGCCTCAGAGGCAGCTGTTTTGACACCAATAAACCCCCCTTCCTCTTCTGAGTCCATTTAAAGTTCAAATGTAGATAGAGACAACCTAATAGGACTGTTTGTTTTTGTTATAGCAGCAACATCTAGAAACTTTCATCAAACAAATCCTGGGGGGATTTTAAATGCTGTTAATGTGGTCTAAAAGAGGTATTGGCAAAACATACCTTAACATTTTTATGTTGTTTTTTTTTTTTTTCTTCTTGAAAGGATATTGTTCGATTGAGAAGGTTTAGAACAAAGCAGAGAGAATAACATGCCTGTATACAAGAAACGCACAATATATCGGCACCAACATCAGTATCGGCAAGTACTAGTGATTTTTAATATACGAATATCTGCCTGATAAATAAGATGGATATTAACAACCGAAGTTTATTTCCATCGTTTTTGGAGGGGGCAAAAAGTTGGTTGTGGTATTTGTTTGCTCAAGTGACAGTCAGAGTAATGCAGTGCAGGACTGTGGAAATTTAACTGAAGCAGAAAAGCAGTAACATGGTTGTTTTTTAAGGTTTTTAAAGGGTAATGAAATGGTCATTGGCCATAGCAGCAATATTAACTTAGGATATCAATATTGTTCCAAAGTTTTATATCTGTTTATCTCTCTTATACAACATTTATAGACTGGGATTTGACTAAATATAGGCCGGTCTGAAATGCTCTTAGTATGATAAGCTTCAGTAAAGATACTGTGGTAACTTTACCATAGTATTTTTGCCTAAATATATGCAATTTACAATTTTTCAGGATGAAATTGTAATATTTGCAATAAAAAAAATAGTGGTGTTATATTGTTGCCTTAATATTTCAAGCAGTGAACAAACCTCAGACAAAGCCAAACAATTTTAAGGTGCATGCCCCGGTCGTAGTAAACTGTTATACTGACCCATATGCAGTTGCCAAAACAAACTGAACCAAATAACGAAATATAGACACTAGGAAAAAAAATCAAATGGAAAAAAGAAATCTGAAAACTATAAGTATTTCCTTCTCCTGGAGCTAAAATTGGCTAGCAGGAATGCTTCCTTATATGCTGCTGGTGATTGAGCTCATTAGCCACATCTCTGTCCAGGAATAAAAAATAAAAAAAAGAGTGTTGCGATGAGTCAGTGGTTCCGAATTAACAACAGAGATACGCAGCAGAATGAACATGATGTGGCGTGTCTTAGCTGAGCTAAAAAAGGCGGGTGGGAAGGATGGGGCCCTGCCCTCATCTCAGCCAATCTCTGTGCTGATGACTCATATCGGCATGTGCATGAATTTGGGAAGGCATTTGGTCCCATGGTCTTTAATGTTTGCCTGCAGGCACAATACATTTACTCCTTCAAATGACTTTTATATCGACAGTCACAGTTAGGCCTCAAAGACAACTTCTAAAAGCAGATCAGCTAAGTAATGCATAAATTACAAAGTAATTACTCATTTGATTAGATTCTCCTCATGTAAACATTGGTTTCAGACAGAAGTTTTTGAATATAAAGTGGATGTGAGTGGACTGGAAGTGTACACACAGTGCCTGCTCACTGGTCCTCAGCTTGATGATGCAATGTTGACATACCATAACTACTTCAACATTTCTTCCAAAGGTTTCAAGCTAATTACCAACATGCTCACATCTTTACACTTTACAGTGCCTTGTATTTGTCTAGCACCTAGCGCCTAGTCTGTCAAGTTTTGCAACATTAAAACCACAAACTTCAAAGCAGTTTATTGGCACTTTATGAGACAGACCAACACAAGCTGATGCATAATGTGAAGTTGAAACGTTTTAATGCTTTCACAAACATAAATCTGAGAAGTGTGGCATGTACTCGTCTTTAGGCCCCTTTTTCTCTGATACACCATCTGTGAAAATGTGGCCACTGCAGTCATAGCTAAACACCCTCTTAGTTAATAAACATGGTCATAATCAGAGCCATATGCTTTCACGGTTAATATATGCACTATTGGAATTGTTTAAAGCATTCTTTCGAGTTTTTGGCAGGAATGTAACTCCATATCCCATGGTAACTAGAGGAGCTGAAAAGTTCCCAAGCTTTAATGAGAGAACATATTGACAGAAACAATCATCATCATGCATTAAGAGAGTGGCACAAATAAACTAATTGTTGGAAAAAAGCCAAAGTTAGGTTTTCACTACTGCACAAGCTATGTGGGGCACACAACATATATGGAACTCCACAACTGAAGGTTTGGGCTTTCAAGCAAGTATTATGCAAGACACTATGCTGAAAGACAGTGGGAGAAGCATTATCTTGTGAGGAATTAATGCTGATCAGAGTCTATGGGAAGGTGGAAGGAGTTGTCCTTCCATTTTCCAGAAATCCTGATAGAAAACGTCTTAAAGGCTGCAAAAGACTAGAGACTAGGATGAGGGTTTACATCCTTCCAGGTCAACAACCCTATAGCTAAATATCTACAAGTGAATGGCTTAGCTCAAAAGGATATTCATGAGTAAAGATTGCCAACTAGAACAATACAACTGAGAATCTATGACAAGACTCCATTGTCCATGCTTTCTATCCAGTATGACTGAACTTGAGCTAAATACGAATGGACAAGCATCTCGGTCTCTGGGTGCACAAGCACATGAAAACAATATGAAGACTTGTAGATACAACTACAGTCAAAGGTAGTTCCACACTATATTGACTCAATGGCAGCTGAATACAAATAGCAATATTTACATTTTTATTTCTAAAACAAAAATATTCAAAAGTACGCATCTTTTTTTTTCCTTTTCCAGTTTCCCCAGTTTTGGGTTGTGTTGCAGCATACATTTCCAACAGAATAAAAAGGTTAAAGGAGGCAAGACAAGCTACAGCACAAAATAACACACACACAAACTTTATCTCATATCTCCTCATGTATCCTTGATAAGTGCCTGACCTCTTGGTAATAACCGTGCCTGTAGCATTGCTCCAAAAATATATTAAAAAAGAACTATTAATTTTATGGTTCCTTGTCAGGTGGCAACACTGCTTATTAGGAGGATTAATTACTACCTTGAATGTATTTGCATTTATTTTATGAACCTTGCTAAGGCTAATTAACTGTTATGGCAAAAAACTATGAACTTTGAGTTATTTGTTCATTTCTTCGTTGTAGTAATTGGTGTTCTTTTTCAAACTCAAGTTGTAGAAGCAAATACACAATCATCATAGCAATAACTTTAAAAACAAATAATATGTCATTTCATTCCCTCTGAGTAAAAAGACATATTTCCAGCCAAGTATTAGAATAAGCATGGGTTCTGTTGGGAGGGAGAGGGACTGATGCGGATGCTGGATTTAAGAATTTGTTTACTCCAATAAATCTGTTTTTCTTTTACAAAGAGTCAGGATGCTATGATGATCTGAAGTCTGACTGTCATAGTTGACTTTGGTGCATTCAGTCTCTGGAAGGCCAACGGTAAAATAAATCAACAAATATTGTCTGCAGATAAAATACATGAAAATGATAGCCTAACGGATTCTGAAATAATTATTAATCCTTTATCATTATTACATTAAATGGAGGTCATGTTCCCATTCTAAACTACATTTTCTTTATGTGGACATCGTGCTATACCCAAACACACATCATAACCTAGTAAAAACCTTTGGCCATCCAGGCTTTTTGTTTGGTTATTTTAAGTTCATTAAATTCAGTCAGGGAAATGAAAATGCATTTCCAGACCAACAAGCCTGAACACAAATTAAAAAGAAAGTGCTTAATCTTTGTGTCTTTTAAATTCAGTTTTCACTAGTTAAATAAACAACGTCAGTGCTGATTTCAAAGATGACCAAGCATGGACGGAATGAAAGTGGCCCCCAAATAAAGTCTGCTTCAGTCTCAAATTGGGTCGTCTCTGAAAAATAATAAAGTTTCACAATGTAACGCAACTGGTTTAGAAAACAAAACGGGCTTATCTCAGTGACTTGGATTCCTTTTTGATTTACTGCAGATAAATTAAAACAGGTTCTAAACCTGCCCCAGAAAACAGGAAGGTTCATTCATACGTGTTTTGGGTTCACGCGAGTTCATCCGCCAGAACTACAGCTGTGAAGCGCGCTCCTATAAAAGGAAATGTTCCTCCGCCGGCAGTGCTCACACTTTTTAAAAGTGTAAACATCAACAAAACCTCTTTAAACTTGCCTCGATGCTTAGGTTTCTTGACAATTTACACCACACTCTGCAACTTCAAAGTCTGCTAATGTGGAGAGTGGAGCTTCTCTGAGATGCCCTGAAGTTTTATTGCATCAGCCGGATGATCCTTCCGTCCTTTCAGAGTCCATGTGCGCTGCTTCCTTATTAACAACTGCAGCGTGAGCGTGGCTCAGATGAAACCGCGCTGCTGCTGAGTTTTTCCTCCTCTTTCATTCGAAAACAGAATAATTAACAATCACTTACTTTCAAATCAGCAACAAACAGCTTTAGTTTTTTTTTCCCCCTTCAGGAAATTGACAGATGATTCCGTAGGAAGGGCACCCGCATGGAGGTGTTCAGTACTCTCTCTCACACACACAGACAAAAAAAGAGTCCACCCACCCAGCTGTCGGTGGCGCCTGTGGCTCCACCCGATGCTGTGCGCTGCAGGTGATTCGCACAGCCGCGAGATGGCGCGGTTCACAAGTTAATGCTCCTCCAGGTCGTCCTTAGCGGATCTCTCTCTGAGGTACCTAGGATGGAGATCAGAGCACAGCGTGCCCTCCGGCCATGTCTCACTTTTAAAATTGCCCCTATAGCCCATCAGTATGCATGCCTTCACATCTTTCCCTGCTGTTCTTTTCAACGCTGGATGATTATGAATTTCTTGTGAAGTTGTAAAAGACTCTGTGGGGGGAAATAAAGCTGCTACGCTCCATTCTCCCAGTTGTCCTGCTGTGGCTGAGTGGTGGTGATCCTCTTATCCCAGCCTGGATCTTCATAGATAACACAAATCTACATCAGGATTTGGGTTTATCTGCACAACTTTTCCAGCATTTAATGCAAAAGTCACTGTTACAATCAGAGGTCAATTTATTAGGTACACCTTACCAGTAATGGGTTGGACTTCAGCTTGCCTTCATCACCGCCTAATTTCCTCATGAAGTACATTCCTCAAGGTGTCAGAAACATTGCTCAGAGATTTTGGTCAGTGTTGACATGACACCGACGCACAGTCACTGCATATTTCTGTGGCGATCCGTGATAAGGATTTTTGTTCCACAACTTTACAAAAGTTCTCTGTTGGGTTTGGCTCTTGTGACTGTGCAGGCCACTGGAAACTAGTCTGAGATTATTTGAGCTTTGTGATAGAGTTCAGTATGTTCCTGGAAGCAGTCCTCAGAAGACAGAGATGCTGTTAAAATAAAGAGATGGACAATTTGAGCACCAGTGCTTCGATATGGTTAGTGTGCCCCAAGAAATAATACCAAAATCACCATCCTGATCTGTTGATTCAAGACTCACTGAATTCATTCTTTCTTGTTCAGAGTCTGAATTGTTTACATCAAATTTTGACCCCTTCCATCTGAAGGTTGCAGCAAAAATCAAGACTTCAAGTTCTGTAATGTCCAGTTCTGGTGAGCCTGTATGAATTACAGCATAAATTACTGATGCATCACTGCTACAACAGCAGATGTGGTCTTCTGCTGTGGTAGCTCACCTGCTACAAAGTTTGAAGTGTTGTGTGTTTATCGTATTCTACATTCTGTATATGGGCTACTGTCACATTCTTATGTCAAATCAGTTTACCACTTTTTCTTCCAATCTTTAACATCAACAAGGGAATGTATCCATAAAAGTGCTGCCCGATTGATTTTTTTTTTCTTTTAAGATCACTTTGTGTAAGCCTGAGAGATGATTGTGCGTGAAAATTCCTGTGGCTGTTTTCGGAAATACTCCTCCTATTACTACAACCATGCTTTCTTAAATTACTTTCTTTCTTCCCCCGTTCTAAGTTTTAACTTAAGAAAGTAATTTTCTCTTTGTCCGATGTTTCTGCAATGTGACTGGCTGACTGACTCTGTGTGCTAACAAGCAGTTAATAAGGTGAACCTTATAAAGTGGATGGTGAGTGTAAAACCAACCATTTCAATACTTGATGCTTTTGACAATACGTCTGCAAACCAGAGAAGTAATTTTGTCCGCTTAGGTTGTTGACATCAATTGGATTCTTTCATTACTGGAATGACTTCCTCTTTTACTTGGACTACAGCTAGTACCATGTATCAAAACATTATTGCAATAGAAGAAGCACTTCAGATTGCCTCATCTGACATTTTTTGATATATTACTGACTGCTACTCACCCTGCAGGCCAATTGTGGGTATCCTTGATGAATGGTAATCGGTGCTCTTAGGTGATTTTTGTAGCAACAACGTTCTCAGGGAAGGAAGTGCTTCAAAAGACATATTAAATCAGATCTCTACTTCTTTCCGGCTTCCCAGAAAGAGACATGTCTAGAGGGAAGTTCCCTCTTTATAAATGACCATCTAAATAAATGGAAGCTGGTAATCTTGTTTCTTAGTAACATAAAGTCTAACTTTGAATCCAAAATGTTTGTGTGGTGTAAAGACCAATAAGTAATACAGCTAGAAGAAAAAATATAACATGTAGTGCCACGAAAACTATTAATATGAAAGAACCGTTTTACATTTGGTCATACAACAACTACAAACCTCAGCTTCACAACTCTGTGCTGCGGAGAATATCATAAGATTCGTGGAAAATTCAATTAATCACCATTCCCAAAAGTTTTAGTAGACGAGATTGATATTGATTGACTTTTACAGCAAAAAGCAAACGAAAAAAACAAAAACATGCAAGCTTCTGTAAACACAGAAGCCATACAAGCACTTCAAAAGCTTCCGTTTGTGTCTGTTGTGTAAGCCAATTACATTAAAGTCACAGAGCTGAGCATGCTTTAAAAATACATCTATTGATATTTTCAGACTCTCAAAGACTCCTTTAAGGTTCTGGAGGGAAAAGGACTGAAAGAGGGGTTTTGCATGATAAAGAACAATATCCCAAGTTACAATTCAACTTCCTAATCAAAACAAACTGAAGTCATACATTAATTATGCATGTGTTCAGTTTGCACATCATAAAGCCAACTAAATGCAAAAACAAAATACTGTCAAAGCTTGTTAAAAGATTAAAAGCTTACCTAAATTTGTACAAAAACTAATATGTTTATTTGTGGATTCACAATTTAACTCTGTACAAAAAATATTTACATGTTGTAATGTTTAAGCATATTTTATAAGTGCATAATGTACAGTGATGCAGTATATTTGACTTACTATTGGCTGAAATGCTCCGATTTCAGCCTCTATCTCTTTATTGCTCGCCCATGAAAACGTATCATCTGTTTAACAGATATGCTTAAAAACATCAGTGATTGAGTCGCCATGAAAATATGTAACAATCACCTTGTAATTAATCAGTATAAAATACAAATTTCACTTATTTGATTAAATTACTGAAATAATGCAGAGCCGTGTCTGTATTTGCTTCATGTTATTTTGACTCTTTTGTTGCAATCGTGTGGTGGTAGCTTGAAATTGTAAGAAATGTTTAGAAAATATATTCAAATATTCTCCAATTTAGAAAAAAAAAAAAAAAAAAAAAAAAAAAAAAAAATATATATATATATATATATATATATATATATATATATATATATATATATATATATATACACAAAGTAGAAATGTTAGAAGCAACAAATTTGAAGGGGGTACTCTTTTAAAAGAACAGCAACCACAAAAAAGTCTAAAGTTGTTAGTCTAAATGGAATAAGATTTCATGCTGTGTGTAACAGGTGGTCAAAGCTGCAGGAGCTTATTGTTCATAAGCACCATTGTTCAATAATAATTGTTCCCTCAAAAAGGTACACTGAGAGTTCTCAATGCAGCTGCCCAGCTGGTTCAATTCCTATCCTAGGGACTTCCTGTCTAAATATTGCAAATAAAACTGAATGTTTCTCATAACTGCAGAGAAAGGTGTCCATGCTGAAAGATCAACTTTACTCTTTTAAAAGTAAAGATGCAGAAAAATGACTCCAAACAATCCATACAAGTGAGTCTTGATTTTAGATGTGGCCTTCTGAGGGCAGCTAAGTGTTTTTAGCTGCCATACAAACACTTAGCTGTTTTATTCAAACATTAACAGGTTTTACAAGACGGCATTTAGAAATGCTCTGGAGGAAGTAAACTGCGTCTAAGCAGATTTTTCAGGCACTAGGTGTTCCCTGCTGCTTGGACTGTATTATCCTGCAGAGAAAGGGGAGCTCTAGGATAGCGTACAAAGTGTAAACCCCTTTCATCACTCCATTCGGTGACATCTGCCATTGGATGAAACTGTATTTGAGCAGCAGCAGTTTGCACAGTGAAAAACACTCCCTGACTGGTGCAGTCTCATGGGCTCGGCAGACGCAATCCCCTCCGTGTCTGTCACACCTCCTAGTTTTGACGACATGACTCCTGTTTAGAAATTTATATTCATGAGGGCAAATAAGGAATGCAATTCAACAAAGTGTTACAACACAGAACCCCCGCTACAGCCTCCTGTGTGTGAAGTCTTCTCATGTACTGTACTGCATAGTTTATACAGTACGACATGCATTTTTCATGGCACAGATACTTACAGGGAGTGCAGTCAATAACATGAACACCTGTAAAATTCAGTGTTTCAGAAAGGTGGTTATTGCTCTCAGGTAGGCGTTGAGGCCATAGCATGTGGTATTGATGTATTTTCTTTGCAGCATATTTGGAGCATTGTCTACACTGTCGACACGGTTACCCCATTTTGTGTTTCAGCACCCTCCCAGGTCAAACATGCAGCGCATTGCAAAGATACTCAACCACCTCCAACCTTTTCACATTTCATCATGTTGCAACTGAAAACCTGAAATCTGACACACCAACACAATGAGGCACATGATTGTGAAACTGAATACAAATAAAGGGGGTTTTCGAGCCGTTTTAAAAAATAAAAGTCTGAAAAGGTTTTTGTTTATTTGTGCTTTGATACAGCTAAATAAAATCCAAATGGATTCTGACTGGGTGTGACTCAGGGCTCATTAGAGAGAAAGCAGCTTTATCAAGAACAAGGATGACAGAAGAAAGGTCAGGAAAAAACCTGTGAAGAAGTTTAAAGATGGGTTTGATTATAGATCAGTAATCCGAGTTTTGGACCTCATCGAGCACGTTGCAACCTACCACCTGAAAAGAGTACAGGACTTACCAAGACATGGACATCCACCTAAAATGACAGGCGAGCATCAATCAGAGAAGTAACCATGGCGACTCAGGAGCTGAAATGCTCTATATGTCAGGAGGGACAATCTGTTGGCAGTTCAACTTCTAGTTGTTAATCTGGCCTTTACAGAAAATTGGCAAAAATACACCCAGTGCTACAACGGAATTGTTAAAGTATATTGATGTGGTTCAGAAGTCCAAAATCCAGATTATCATCCAACTGAGAATATGTGACAAAATATATAAAGTTCCTATCACAGACTCTAATTTGTCTGAGTTTGAGCTATTT